CAGAACCGCAGGACTCACGTATTGTATCACTTAAAAGTTGCGTCATCTCACCTCTTTGGCAAACTGTCATGTCCAAACATGTATTAAGAAGCCTGGAAATTTCTACTTCGGCTATGTTATATATAAACCCGTTCACCAATACTCTCATCACAACACTTTTATCTATAACTTGTGTGTATTAATCTTCTCCTCATCATCAAGTCTTGGGAAAAGAAACTGAAAATGATGACAAGCGAAGTCATAACACCTTGTAAGACTTTTTGTACTGAATGCATAAAACATAAATAAAGATCCAAAATGGTTGGACAAATAGGTCACAAGATTAGGTACACGATTGATATATCAACAATTGCAGCAAGATATATACAAAAGGGGACACTCTTGCAAATGAGAGTATACACAGTAGCCATGTAATCAAGCGTGCTTCCTCTCTTTCACAGCTCACAGCGTACACATGAATCAACTGTAATCCTAAAACCAAAGGGAACCTAGTCTTCATGACAACTTTTTAGCACAGAGGATGTATGTAGCCATTGGCATTGACTCACCATGCTTATTCTACAGAACCAGTTTCATTATCATCATCTTATCCCATCCACCATATTCTCCATCTCTCTTCTCCCAAACCTCCTACCTTCTTCTGCATTTGCATCTTTACACCTAACCGCTAAGTAAAACACTAACCAAACCGCCATGAAGTAAACCTCCAACGCAGACTGTACCACACAAGCAAACCCTTTCCCCACAACACGAACCAACGCCCATCTGAAGAAAGACCCACAAAGAATCGCTTCAAGACACTTAATCTGCACAGCCTGATGCAACATTAGAGATATCAAGTAAAGCCCTTCCTTCACAATCTCCCTCCCCCTCATCCTCGGATCCACAACAGCAACAAAAGCATCAAGAGCCAACACCAAACCAATAACCGTATCAAGCAAAAACCAAGCAAACAGAAACCCAGATATCTCCTTCTCAAACCCTCGAATCCACGGCGGCATAACAGTGAAAGGCATCAGCTTTAACCTCACAAATAACCTAAAAAACGAGTACTGATCCTCCACCTCACCGAAATACCACAACCCAAGAAGCTGCGTCAACGCGTCCCTCACCGCCCACCTCATCAAAACAAACCCCGTGACTCTCTTAAACCCTAACCTCGACCCACTCCACACAACGTCAAAGAAAGAAGGAAACCTATCAAGCAAGTCGTTGACAACAGTAACAAACGTAATCGCCAACACCAACGAGTAAACCGTCGTGAACCCTAGAATCACCCACCCGTAGGCGGCGGATAAGAAGCTCACAAGATAAAACAGAGCCGCCGCGTCTCCTCCGCGACCAAGATCCAAACTTTTTATAAAAAGCTTCAGATCAAAGTCAAAGTCATCGACTTTCTTCTCGGTTTCAGGTTCTTGATCATGCCCTTCTTCTTCTTCATCTCTAAGCTCCCGTAAGGAGAACCCGGAGCGTACGATCTGAGGTAAGGAGAGACCGTTATCTCCAATTGGGAGTGTGAATCCTGAAATGCGATCGAATCCGGAGAGGAATAGGGTCGTGGAGTTGAGGGGAGATCGAAAGGGGGAGCCTTGGAGGGATCGGTGGTGCTCGTCTGTGGAGAAGAAGTCGTCGTCTAAGGTCCCGAGGCGCGTGAGCTGGAGGAAGGGGGCGCGACGGGGGTTGTTGAGGCGCGTGGGGGAGGGATGGGAGTTGGGGAGGCGGGAGAGGAGGGAGCGGAGGGAAGGGTCGGTGTCGACGAAGGAGGTGAGGAGGAGGGAGAAGTGGTCGAGGAGGGAGTGGAAGGAGAAGAGGAGGAGAGTTAGGGAGATGAAAGTGAGAGGGTGCGTGGAGAAGGAGGTTGTGGTTTGACGGAGGAGATGGGAGGTTGTGCGGAGGCGGTTCAGCCGCGCGTGGTGATCGGACATGTCGGTGGTGTTTTACTATTCGCTCCCGCTACTTTGGGTAGATCGAGAGAGAGAGAAGAGAAGTGACTTTATGTAACGCGTGTTAATTTGTAACGACTTTGATGGGCTTATATGGGCTTGAACTTGGGCCTTATCTATCTCATATAAGAAATGTGTTTCTTTGAGGGATGTCTCCTTGATGGTTTCATTGCCATCGAGATCATTCAGGGGCCTCGGATGGCTCACATTGTCTCTTCTGCAAGCCGAATTTAAAACACTTTTTAGACAATGCAGTGTATATTTTTTTTTTGAAGAAAAAATGCAGTGTATATTACAACATTGAAACGTTAGGATGGATTGTCAAGATATGATTAAGATGAATTACTAGCACGATTTCTCAACAGAGCTTAAAAAGTTTACGTGATTAAGAAGGTGGTTTTATCTCCTACATCTCTCGTACTGTTATCTCCTCTACTGATTCTTTGGCCTAGACTACTAGGCTCGGTTGTAGGAATAGTTTTTTTTTTTTTGGGTGTAATTTTCAACTTCATTTTAAATTTGAATAATGTACTAACTTCTTGATGTAAAAGAAATAAGAAAGGGCTTGTAAGTTCAAACAAGGTTTGTATAATACAATTTCGAATGACTTTTTATCAAATGAGTAATGTAATAAAACCAAAAACATACAAGATTAAACAGAAACAAACAAGGCAACAATGTAAACATCAATCAAGAAATTGAATGTCGCATCACTCCTAAATGGTTCATGTCCACATAATTTTTTTGGTATTTTGGAGGACCCATCATCATAATGTGATTGTCTTCACAATATCAGGTTTTGTGTTCCACATAAACTTGTACCAGTACACAAGAAAAATGGGAGACTCTACTCGACTTACAAGAACGTCCACTTAGTGGGATCATCACTATCTTTGATGTGATTGTAGAGAGTTGCCAGACCCTTCTATTCGTGGAAAATCTACTAACCACACAAGTTTCAGCCATAATCTTAGTTTGGCTCTAAAAGAAGTTTAAAGCCTAATTGAACAAACCTCAGAAAACACAGAAGTGGGTAAGGAAAATCAAGAAAGTTAATGAAAGGTACATGTCTCATTTTCTTTCAAAGATGATCTACTCGTTTTTGTATTCATCGCGTTTGTAAATGTACATTGTTAGACAAGAAAAAAACACAATAGTTGTTTTTATGTTCTATATTATTGTTTATATATTATCTTCACACATAAAAAAAAGCAACATGTCAAACTATAATAAACCTACTTAAAATACACCATATCAGAGGTAGTTTAGAGGGAATGCAAGTGGGGCCAAACGAGAAAACCAAACATGCACAAACCTAATATCCTCTTGTTAGGATAATTCCGTATGGTATGGATTAAGACAATTCAATATGGTATGGATTAACGTAATTCAGTATGGTAGAATACAATTCCGTTCCTTCACAAAATAAAAAGAATACAATTCAGTTAGGGTTTTCTGAAATCATGACAGTAGAATGTGTGAATACAGTTTAGATGATTCCACTATGATATGGAGTTGAAATACATTTTTCTAATACATTATATGTATATTTTCCACTTACGTTATATGGTCCTTGTGGAGACTTCCATATACCGAAAAAGATATACCATTCCACAATTTGTAACAAGAAAACTGTTCATTTGAGAACTTACAATGAGTATTGTAACACAAATTTTGAAATTAGACAAACAAAAACCACTTCACAGAGTATCATTTACATCAAATTGTTGGTAATCACATGAATCAACTGTAATTCTAAAAACCATATATGCAAGTGGGATCAAACGAGAAAACAAAATATGTCCAAACCTAATGTCTTCTTGTTAGGATAATTCGGTATGGTATGGATTAGGTTTATTCAATAAGGTATGGATTAAGGTAATCAGTATAGTAGAATACAACTCAGTTAGGGTCAACTGAATTTATAACTATAGAAAGTGTGACATTAATATTTTGTTATCTTTTATATATTATTGATTACCTGTTCAGTTTAGTTTGACTCCACTAGATTATGGAGTTGGCGTACATTTCTCTAATATATCTTTTTATAATTTCCGCCTATGTTAGATGGTCCAGGTCCTTATGGAGACCCCCATATACCGAAAAAGATATGCCATTCCACACTTTGTAACAAGAAAACTGTTCATTTGAGAACTTACAATGAGTTTTATAAAACAAATTTGAAATTAGACAAATAAAAACCACTTCACAGAGTATCATTCAGTACAAATTATTCAGACATTTAAAGAAGAAAAATAACTTTGGTATTAAAAAAAAAAAAAAACAGAGAACCCCTTTACTCTTAGCATATTGGAATGGGAGCTCCGTTCCACTCATTAAGACACTCCATCAACGGATCAATGATCTTCCCTTCACAAATCGCCGTGAAAACCTTATCAAACTCTTCTCCAGGCGACGTCACTTTCTCTCCGGTCAAAAGCTCTGTTCCAAGCTCTTCCCTCACGAACCTATACAAAGGATACGACCTACACTCCTTGATCCTGTTAGGTATAGCCGATGTCCCGTTATCATACGCCGCTCTAGCTGCCTCCACTTCCTTAGGAAGCACCATCTTCAGCTCCTCCTCGAAATCTCCAATCTTGTGAAAGATCGAAGTCATAACGTTCTTCTCACTCTCACCGTTGACCAAAGCATGGTCAACGATAACTTGCCTTAGCTTCTGGATCAACGGGTACGTGGCGCTGCATGGATCGTCCGCGTACGTGTAGACTTGTTCACGGTCAACGACTTTGAGTAAATCTTTCTCGCAGAAGCGAGATGGGTGAAGCTCACCGTTGACTCCAGTGGTTAAAACTTTCTTAGCCACTTGAGAGACAGTGTTCTTAACAGTTTGTTTTAGATTCTCCTCCAAGTGTCTTAGATCCACAGCTTGGCAGATTCCGACAAGGAAAGTTGTCGACATGAGTTTGAGAATGTCAACAGCTTCAGAAGTCTTGCGTGATGAGATTAGTCCTAAAGAGTTTACATCTTGGTTGTGCTGCTCTGCTGATTGAACGTGGCTTGTAACTGGATTAGCCAAGTACTGAAGCTCTGAGCAGTAGGAAGCCATAGCGATCTCAGCTCCTTTGAAACCGTAGTCCAAACTTGGGTTTCTCGAAGCGGTTAGGTTAGAAGGAAGACCGTTGTTGTAAAAGTCGTTGACAAGCTCGGAGAATTGAGCGAACATTAGCTTCCCTATCGCTGCGATAGCGAGACGTGTGTTGTCCATAGAGACACCGATCGGTGTCCCCTGGAAGTTACCTCCGTGGATGGCTTTGTTTCTCGAAACGTCGATCAAAGGGTTGTCGTTGACGGAGTTTATCTCACGCTCGATGGATTTTGTCGCGTAGCGGATCACTTCTATCTGAGGACCTAGCCATTGAGGTGACGTGCGGAGCGCGTAACGGTCTTGTTTAGGTTTCTGTAACGGATCCATCTCGTGTAGCTTCTTAGCTAGCTTCATGTAGGAGCTTCCGTCGAGGATGTGCTCCATGATCGCCGCGGCTTCGATCTGGCCGGGGTGGTGTTTCAGCCGGTGAGTTAAATGGTCGGTGAACTCCGGCTTACCGCTCATCACCTCGGCGAAAATCGCTGACAAAACCTCGGCCAAGACGGAGAGAACGTTGGCCTCGAAGAGAACCATCGAGGCCATTCCGGAGCCAACGGCTGTGCCGTTGACTAGGGCTAGACCTTCCTTGGGCTGCAAGTCAAAGAATCCTGAGGGGATTCCTGCCTTCTTGAAGGCTTCTTCGGCGTTCAAGGCTTCGCCGTTGGGACCGGTGGCTTTGGAGTTGGGGCGACCGGTGAGGAGACCGGCGATGTAGGA